GCACGCTGTTGATAGATCAGTTTGTACATTTTTTAGCGTGCGCAGTGAAATAGCTCACGTTTTTATACACGCAAACCTTTGATAGATTCGGCCCTCTGTGTTTTCTGTGCTTAAATTTAGGTTACTCTTTATAGGTTGGTAGGCGTTAGCTGATGTGAAAGGTGTTTGGTAAAACTATCTTCTTTAAACTGCAATGAGAGAAACTAGCTGCTGTCATACTGTATGTGTTTATAAAGGCCAATGTGCTAATAATGACAAGCTACCTGTCATAATTGGTTTAAGCGATCTGACCCACATGCAGAGAATCACTCAACGAGGAACAGGGCACCATCTGGTGTTGGAGAGAGAGAAACACAAAAACAACGCACACAAACTGGATTCCTAACACTACCTGGATAAGATCATAAGTCTTGCTGTGTGCGCTTCTGTGTACAGAAAGCCTAATCATGGATATTAGTGTTTTGTAATAAAAGAGCCACTTTGAGGTAATAGTCGCCTATATATGTTAATATCTCTTTATAAATCTGAAACACAATGTTTGGTTATGTGCCTTGAGCAGCAGAGAGATTACTTAATATATTATTGTTCTTCATTTTATATATACATCTGATACTGCATATATATCCTCATAATGATAATTATATATACTGTATATGGAAAAAAGAGATACATTAACATTGACAAAAGTAATTATAAATTAAAATTGTATGAAAATCAAGATATTAGTTTTGAATTGTGGTTTAGGAGAAATATTGACAAAAAAACAAACAAAAAATGTAAACAAACATGATGGGGCTCTTACCCTAAAATGCTGAGCAACTCCTTGAGGGAATCTCTGCAATCAGGTGTTTTCTAAAATCCGTCTGATTTCTGCACCTGTTGATGGCACGTTGGTGAAATGTCAATGAGCAAGGTGCTCTTATGTGTTTGGGACTGTTTTATGTGTTTGTTTTTCTTTTATTATTTAAAAAAACACATCAATACTTACATTTATTAAATCATATTTGTCATGATGGGTTATGGAGGCAAGCCCAAGATGCAGAACACACACGGAGGAGGCAGGGAAAAAGTTCAAATGTTTATTAAAGTTCTGAAACACAAGGTTAAAGCACAGGGTCTGGAATTGGTCAGGGGCTGGTTCACTGGAGTCTTGACTGGGACTGGTGACTGTTGGTTAGCAGAGTTCATGTGAAGCTAAGCATCTAGCTTCAGGCTTAGCATAGCAGGCCTTGATCTGAGCTTCCAGCTCACTGCAGAGAACAACAGGGAACATCCACATAGGATTCTTCAAGGTTGAGCTTCCAGCTCTTCACAGAGAACAACAAGGGAAAATCCACATGGAAACCTCTAGGGAAACTCCACACAGAAGTCATCAGGTTTCATCCATGTAGGAATCTTCGGGTTGGCTCACCAGGGCAGTTTAGCAGGTTAAGCTCTCCTAGAGCTTCAGGGTTGAGACTGGTTTCCTGTGATGCAGCTCTCCAGAGCTTCAGACCAGAGACAGGGTTCCAGTGAGGCAGCTCCTCTTGAGCTTCAGATCAGAGACAGGTTTCCTGTGAGGCACAGACAAAGGAGAGATTAAAATCTGATCTCACACAAGAGACTACCAAGAATTAATCTGAAACAGAGGCTCTGGAAGCTAACCAACTAAGATCAACACTGCGGCGTGGAAGCTTCTTTTTCTTCTTCTTGTTTTATGGCGGTTGGCAAACAATTAATAGGTGCATTAC